AAGTGAATATCAGTTTAAAACATGCTGGTTAGGCAAACATGTAGTTTGCTATTTGTTGTCGCGACCTGACTTTTAAACTAGTCATTCTATTATGACTGTAGAAATGCTATGGACACTAAGACACAATTTTTTACCTGGTGAATGATGATTGTGATTGTTAAATGTCATAACGAGAGCTTTTTGATGAGATGATAAATTGAGAATTATGAGAAGAATTGTTAAAACCAGTGACACGCGTCTGTGCCCTGCCATCATGCGATGTTGCTGAAGGGACTTGTTCGTAAAATTCATTCAGTGTTGATTATGGCGAGATTTGTTTCCGATTAAAACCGGATTGGAAACGAAAACTGTAAATCTGAGATGATGCTTGTAATTACTGCTTGCCTTGTTATATGAATATATTATTGCCAGTAAGGTTTCATATTAGTAATACAGTTATTCCCCCTGTTTGGGACAAATCTTATGGTACTATACGGATACCTGCGCACTCGTGTTACCTTTCACTGCTTCCCCTTCCCCTAGGTTTAGGGGTTGCTTGGAGTGACAGTTGTGAAAAAGAGTATCTAAAAAGACTCCCCCGGCTATGCTGGGTCATGATTGTCACCCCTAACTGACCTCATGAATTCCCCGTCGTTATTTTTTCTTTTCTGTTCCTCGGTTTTCTACATATTTGTGGTTTTATTCTTTTGTTAGCCGAGTTGGAATTTAAGAACTTCTCAAGGTTTTCACCTAGACCTATTTCTTTTATACAGTACTCTCTAATGCTTCTCAGTTAGGTCAATTGGGAGGGGAATCTGGTTGGGGTCATCCTAGTTTTATGTAAAACTGGTAACTACCGGATTTGTGTATTGCACGTAACTCGTTTTTTTGATATTTTAGGGTACATATGGCNACTGACCTCATGAATTCCCCGTCGTTATTTTTTCTTTTCTGTTCCTCGGTTTTCTACATATTTGTGGTTTTATTCTTTTGTTAGCCGAGTTGGAATTTAAGAACTTCTCAAGGTTTTCACGTAGACCTATTTGTTGTATACAATACTCTAATGTTTCTCAGTTGGGTCAATTAGGAGGGGAATCTGGTTGGGGTCAGCTCAGGGGTAACGGTCACGAACCTCAGCAAGTCTTTGTTTGAAAGACAAGGGTATTTCTCCAATCACCATCAATTTTGACAACTGATAGTGCCACTCACGTAACGAAATGTCATCCTCGTTTTATGTAAAACTGTTTATACGTTTAATTCCATGCGTAGTGCCAACCAACATTCACGATCGTTTGTACAATAAAGATTTTGCACGTGACGTCATCAAACTCTGAAATCCAATACTAAAGACCCATTAAAATTTTTATCTTCTCGTTGGAAGTCTACACTTGATCTTTCTGGCTTTCTGTTGTGGTAATGACCAAGTCGACGCCGTTTTGTTGTGCGTCTGTCCTCTTATTGATGATATACAGCTGCTTTATGGAAGGGTTGTACTATAAAAGCGAAAAAGCGTGCGTGAAAAAGTCGAAAGCTACTATGGGTCATGGTGGTTTATTGTTGATTGAAGCTCAAAGGTGTTTCAGCGTGATAGAAGGAACCAGTACAAATACGTATATTCATTGTTTCTCTTTCCTTCTTGTTGAAACACTGTGAACCGCAACCAAGCAGCGATAAACTATTGAATAAGAATTAACAGTTTTGTTATTTCTAGCAATGACGAAAACTAAAGTAAATAAGTAGCTGGAAATAGGCAATGAAAAGCGCTTCAGCGTGTTGTAATTTGTTTTGCATTTTTATTGAATTATGATCTCTAGCTATTTTATATTCATTAAACACCTGGATCTCATTCTGATACTGAGATACGCGTGAAATCATTTGCATATTTGGATGATGTCGCAAAGGCACATTGCACGAAATCCATTCTGTGTTCCCACACCAATTTATAAACGAATGAATACGGTAGCTGAAAACAAAATTACAACTGATACAGGAATAACATGCAGCGAACTAACTTGAACAGACTAGACACTTAAGAGCGTTTACTCGCGCCATGTATTGTTTTACATGTGTTGTTCTAAGTGAAACCGCTGCATTCAAATGAAGTATTTATCATGTCTACTACTAAGTACGTTTAATTCCATGCGTAGTGCCAACCAACATTCACGATCGTTTGTACAATAAAGATTTTGCACGTGACGCCATCAAACTATGAAATCCAATACTAAAGACCCATTAAAATTTTTATCTTCATCTGGCATAAGAGTTGCTGAAATTATATCTGTTTACCAAATTTCAATCGAAAAGTGCCCTTCGTTTGGAAACCAGCGCATTTTGAATTTCAGAGTTTTGGCGGTGCATGACATAAATCTACGAACGCATTTGTCGAAAAAAAAAGTAAATATAATATATATTATCTCGTGATTTTTAGCTATTTGAGAAGTTAAAGTAGTAAGAAAAGTGTTTACATAAATGCTTGTTTGTACGGTACAAAAAAGGTAGCCTTCATAACCAGATGTTAATGCTGTTTTAAGACCGCCATATTGGTGTATTACGAAGGGACACCTGAATTTGCGTGACGCTCCAGGGTGAGCTCTATAAATCTGTGCGAAACATTTCGACGAACATCTCAACGCATTCACCTAAAACTTAGAGAGGTATCTTCATTGTTAATCTTCTATAACACCGCAATTTCTTGACCTAATCCACTGAATGTTTTTCGATTTAATTTTTAACGAGTGGTTGCTTAGCTAGAGGGAGTTATAGGGGTGATAAGACTTATGCAAATGAGCGGTATATCGATAATCCCTAAAATTCTGGGATCGATTTATTGTCAGCGGGTAATTAACCAGTTGTAGTGTACCTAGGAGTGACCAGATTATGCAGATGCACATAACTTTCTTTGTAGGCTGAGAGTCTGTACAATCTATATCCTTTATATTACGAGAAAATAGAAGCATCAGCAAAACTCAAGAAATGAAAAAGCCAATTCACGGAAAAGTTGGAATGAAGTTTGTGGTGATCTAAAGTTGCATACATAACGGCATTTACCACACCTCCCCCCTCCCCCTACCAACGACAGGAGCGATCGATTTCGTTGCTGCTAGCAATCCCGAAGTTTATGCCCTATTTGAAATATTTGTTTATTTATTTAAAGTGTTCCCAATTAGCACATCAGTGCTAAATACATCTGACACTCAAATAAATTTAAAGTTATTTAGTTACTATAGATGACGATCCTCTGGTACTAAAACCCCTCAAAAAGTAGTGCTTTAAGTACAACTTTAATGGTTTTGAAAAACCAAGATTATAACAAATAGTTTTAGATCGAAATCTTAATACAGTGCAAAGGTGCAGTAGTCTCATTAATATGAATTTTCATATTCAGTCAAAGGTTATTACTCAATGACGCATCCATATCTTATCACTTAGGTTCCCTGGAAATAAAATGGGGCACAAGTTCACCGAATAAAATATTTGAAGGCAAACCAATGAAGCTGGAATGCCATTTCTTGGGATGGCCTCTCCCTCACGAGGTCCATTGGTACAAGGATGGAGAACTAATCACAAACGGAACAGAAGGTATTTATCAGTCAGAAGAGAATGGAGAGAAAACTCTCCGGAGCACACTTCATCTTCCGTCGGGACGCGAGGAACTGGAAGGATTCTACAATTGCAGCGCAAGAAACGGTATTTCAAACAGCGCGTCTTATACGATACAGATGATATATCAATGTAAGTTATCACACCGCCGTTAGGCCCAACTCTGACTTTATTAAACCGACCAAGTGTCAAAACTTATTTTAAGACACTTGGTCACTTATGTTACGTCTCATGTTGTTCGAATAAAGTTTCATTATTTCTCATTGGTATACGCGTCGCTTCTGAAGATGTATGAACGTCAAGTGACATGTTTATTAACGCTGTTTGTTTTTTTTTATTATCACTTTTCAAATTGAGATTCCCGAAGAAGCAGAATGTTTATCAAGCTTTTGTTTATTCTATCTGACTTAGACAGGTAGTTTCCTGCAAGGGCCATTTTGAAGGGCAAAATATCAATCATGACCTGTAGGGCGATAACGCACCATGAAAGTTACATTTTAAGGGAACCTTTTGATGTTGCAGGAACTTTTTCTGCGTGGTAACATTCACTATGAAGTAACTAAGACCTAAATGATGATTGAGATTGTTTAATACAGGTAACTCAGGAAAAATTCCAACCGTTACCCTATCGGAGATTGCTGCAAACATATCTTCTAATGTCAGCCTGTCATGCTGGATTGACTATGATGACTATTGTCCACTAGAATTGCTTTGGAAGTTTAACGACGAACCGGAACCCTTGCCTGAAAGCGGTAAAAAGTATAAAGTGGAACTAAAAGATACACACACCAAATGCCAGAAAGAACTGCTCCTGTCTATTTTTAACGTGACAGAAAATGATCAGGGGATATACAGTTGCCACCGGCTCTGCGAAAGTGTCAATTTGAAAGCTGTCATTGATTTGAAAGTATTCGCACCAATAGGTTAGACATTATTTAAGGTCAAATACGACATAACTTCTCTAATTGTTTTCTTTGTCCTAAATGTATGGGTCATGGTAACGATAGTCATATACAAATTAACCCGTAAGAACTGAAACTCGATCGCTGTCCAGGTGGTTCGTTACGTAGAC